GAGAACCGGTCGACCGAAATAAGCCTCAATAGTGAAAATAGCTACTAGAATTGGAGTTTTTGTTGAACAATGAAATCAAAATGGGGTTCGGTCGACCGAAACTAGTTAAAAACGTGAAAATGAACTTGCTATGCACCAAAATGTGAAGAAAAGACCCTAAGTCTTATTTGAATCCCCCATGGCATGATCAATTTACATTATATGCTATTGTGTGATGATGTGAACATACACGCAAGTGTAATATGGTATTCTAAGCATGCGACAATGGCCCATGGCCTTATTACAATTCATTTACAATATTTGACATGTCAAACCTCCAAGTTAGAAAAATTACATTTCATAGGCAAAACTTAAACATGCTAACACTTGCATGTGAACAAGAATGCTTCTAAAGAAACTTCAATTCTGCAAATCACCCAAAGCAAGTGCAAATCTCCAATCTTGTATCCTGTACCTGAAATATGCCCCAGTAACTTTGGGGTGAGCAACATAAAGCTACTCGTACGAAATGAGCATACATCGACCTAACGTTTTACATGTTTGCATGATTTAAACATCATGGTTAATTCCACCTAGTGTCTATATCAAAGGTGAGACTCAGGGAGCATCTTAAGCTGCCTAAGATCATTTCTAGCATAAAACACATCATTCATGCAGTTTAAACAACATAGGAGCATGCTATCCAAAGTAACAAGATATAGATTCTTAAAGTCATCAACTTGAAATCTAATATACAAAAATGACAAAAGTGGGTCATGCCACCTAACTTCCATGTTCCAGTTGAATCATAAGATCATTCCTAAGCTATATTTCAACAACAAGACGCAAATCACAATATCTATGCAATTTAACCAACATAGATGCATGCTATACAAATCAACTAGATATAGATTCTCAAAGTTATCAACTTGAAATCTAAAATATGAAATCAACTAAATATAATAATTTAGTATAATTAGAATTTCTAATACCACACATCAAGACATAGATTCTCTATGTTATCAACTAGAAATCTAAAAGTGCGAAATCAATTAGTGGAACACTTGGACATCTAAGCTCGGAATTCTGCCGAGACCTCAACGGCTATTACGGGCACTAACCCGCTGGTAATACCACCCCTAGTGCGCACTATCTCGACAGGGAGAACTCATACCTCCCGCACTAGAGCTAAACTCTAGCTATGTTATAGCAACCATGTCCCAAGTGACTCCAAAATAAATAAGTTAACAACTTATATACGAAATATGTATATACAGCACGAAACTACATTCCATGCACAAGTAGGTTGAAACCACACAATACATGCTCTAAATCCACAACTACTACAGGATAACAATGTCGAATCTTTAGAGTGCGATTCGTTACGCGCTATTACAATATAATTCAATATTGAAAACATAAACTCATATATCCATTACAAGTCAAAAATCATTTTTTAAACATACTATCAATGTCAACACATGATTAAATCAGTAATGCCATAGAAACGGAAATTAATTACATAGCCTAATTAATTTCTCTAGGTTTCAAATCTCAATTAAATGACCCCTAATCAACACATGTTAGACAACATAGCATGGTCATTGCATAATCAATTCATAAGCTTAATTAGGCCATTTGAACAAAAAAATGGAATTTAACTAAATCATGATAATCAAATCCCTAAATTCTAAAATAAGATAAAATGGTCCTAATTTAACTTATGCTAGTGTGCAAGTCCTAGTCATCGCAAACATCAAGTTAAAAACTCAATTAAACCAATGGAACCTTTAAATAGATTTTAATTAATCATTTTAATTAAAATCTCTAAATTTTCATACTTATCCAAATGCTCTAAAATTAAAATATGTTAAACAACATGCCATGACTTAATTTAAAAACACATTACAAGTCCATTTCATGCAAGGTACGAACATGGAAATTAATCTTTCACAAAAGAAAAATATTAAATAAAAGTGCAATTCTTATTCAAATAATTTCAATTTAATATATGTTAACAAACATATCAAATCCAAACGTTCTAGCATGCCACAATTTAATTCTAAGTTATACATCATCATGAGAATTAAATCCTAACCATTAAAATTAATTAAATTAAATTCTAGGACTTAAACAAAAACATGCATACAAGTTGTATAATCATAGAAAACACTCCATACAACACATATAAAATCCTAAAACATCACCTACCTCAATTTGAGATGAAAATCTCAAAAGCCCACCGAAAAAAAGTGCTCTGAATCTGACGATACCGAAGGGTTTTGTCGGGACAACACGATGAATAAGAATCCCCAAGAAGCCTCATCAAAATCACAACTTGACTTCAAACCCAAACTTGAAAAAAAGTTAGAAATGGGCTCTAATAAAGGTGAAAGATAAAGCACGACGAGGGAAACAACAAATGTTAACGCCGAAGACTTTTCACTTAGGAAAAGTGGATCAAAGGAGGAGAGAGAAAGTGGCAGCTCCATGGGCATCCATGGCTGCCGGCCAAGAGAGGAATGGCCCCTCCAAAAAGTGAAAACTGCACTAATGGCCCAGAATGAAAATATCTTCGAAAAATATTTTCTTAAAAACCCCTGAAATAAAATATCTTCAAAAGATATTTACGAAAAACACCCTAAGAAAAGAAAAAGATTCTGAAAAACTATGCATCCATACCCCTATGGACACCAGGAGTAACTAGAGTACTTTCTTACAAAAGTAAAGATATGTTTTTCGTGGAAACCACTCAAGATAAAGGTACGTGAAGTCAAAAACCAACTTCAAGCATGAGAAGTGAGGTTACGCCAACAAAGTGACAAACGGGGAAAAGACAAAATAGGGAAAATGACGAAATAGGGAAAATGACGAAAAGTGAATAGTGTCGAAAAACGAAAAATGTGGAATTGACTAGGTCCTCAAAGGAAGTTGTCAATCCAAAGAAAAGAGTCTCGGAAATCACTTCAGAGCACTCGAGACGACACTAAGCGATGAGGAACTGAACTCAGAAAAGAAAAGATCAACGGAAAAAAAAAAAAAAAATATCAGTGAAAATCTGAGAAAAAGAAAGGAGGAAAAAGACCGGGTCATTACATGAACTGTATCCTCATCTCCCGCCTCATAGCCCTAGGAAAGAAGCACTCGAAGAGCAAATCTCTGAACTCATTCTAAGTAATCAACTCAACATTGTGAACATTGTTCATAGACCTCCACCAGATATCTGCATCTCCTATGAACATCGAAGCAGTCAAAGAAATCCTTAACCTGTCCATGGGTACTGCCATACTATCCAACTTACGAACCATAAGGTCCAACCAAGCTTCTAAGACTAGTGGATCTGAACTCCTTGCAAATGGATCAATCTTAACCCTCTGTAGTCACATAAAGTACTCCATAGCCTCATTAACTATCGGTGCCAGTGCTGGAATCTGTATCCCTACCACCTGCATGCGTATCAATTCCTGTAGGGATTCAGCGATCCCCTGATTGATTCCCTGAGCCACTCGCTCCTCATAAGTCTGTGCGTACGGCAGATTAGCATCCACGCCACGAACTAGAATCCTGGGCCTCCCCGGACCCCTCGTAAACTCGGTGTCATCCACCTGCCCCTCAATGCCCTGACGTGAAGACTCTTCACGCGTGACAACCATGATGCTAAACATATGTAAGGAAAGAAATCAACAATAACACAATCTATTATGATCGAGTGCAACTCACACTATGAATGCACGAAATACGAAGCAAGACAAGGTATATAACATACGGTCATGCTAAAATAATCAAAGAAAGCTATTTAAAATAGTTAAACACTTAAACAAATAAGCATACATGTCAAACAAGAATGCTCTGAACCACATAGGCATATAAACATAAAGACATAAACAGGTTATAATGCCAAAACATGTCATACTACCAAACGTGTTATTAAGAAACACACAAATAGGTTTTAATGTCGAAACATGTCATCAAAAGCATGTGAATATATCAAAGTAAATCAACGAAAGCATGATATGCACCCAAAACCCGTCGTCCTAAGGTATTCAAACCAAGGAGCTCTAATACCACCTGTGACGGCCCTAGATTTTCAAGCGCCAGTGCATCCTATGATGAACCGAAGATTGACTTGATAACGGATCCAGATGCGGAAGCAAAAGATCAGAAATATGACAAATAAGCCTCCAAGGGCAAAATGGTAATCTTTTAAAATATGAACTCGGGTGCCACCGAGCACACCGCTGGGAAGACAACGACAAATTAATCAAGATGGGCTTAAGAATTGCATGATTCGGAGTTCAAACGATGGAGAAACGGCAAAAACAAAAAGGGTTATGACAGCTACAGTGCTGCCGACCCACTACTACTGCAACTGAGAGTCAAAACTGGCATCTAAACGGACTTTTTTGGAAAAACTCAAAGAAGAAACCCCTCCTAAAATTAAGTTTTCTACTCGGTAGCATTGACAGAAATTAAAAAAAAAAAAAAACGCATTGTAAAATGCCCAAAATGCCCCCAAGAAAATTAGGTCAAGAGGGTAAAAATCATTCCTAGCTACTGCCCAAGGAAAGGAAATGGGGCTTCGGAAGGTTTTTAAATTGCCTAAATTTAAAATGCAATCTTAAAATACACCCATAAGACCCCCCGGAAGTTTTGGATCGGTCGTCACACTTTTCAAAAAAAAGTTGATGAATAGTACCAAGTACACTTGTATTAAAAATCAACAAAAACCTAGCAGCAAGGATTTTTCAGAAAAATATGGGTTTTTGAGGGACAAAATGACATTTTCTAGAAAAACACAACGAAGAAACTCCCCTTCCTCCCCCCCTGCCCCTGAAATCAATTTTTCTACTCAATAGCGCAGGCGAAAACGAAAAAAACACATTTAGAAATACCCGAAATGCCCCTGGAACAGAATAGGGTTAAAACTCAAAAAATGCAATCTTAAGTTTTTTGTTTCATCAAGAAGGGTATTTGTTCACCAAAGTGAGCATGCAAGTGTATGTAATATGATAAAATGGATGTGCTACAATGGCTTATGGCCTTATTACAATACATTTACAAATTTTGGTATACTAAGCCTCAAATTCTCATAAATAAGCTACAATAGCAATACTTTAGTTTTAAAGAAAGCATACTTGCAACCTTTCGAGTTAATGGCCCTTGGCCTCATGTCATACATGCAAAATGAACACTTCAAAATGTACTTCAAAATGTACAAGAAGGAAGTCATCTTAGCTTCTAAAATACCATACATCCATGGCATACAAAATATATCATCCAAAAGTAAAGCATGCTAAACAAGTGCATGTCCTTATACAAAAATGCTTCAAATGGTTCATGAGCCTCTAAGGATGATGAGCATCCAAAAACATTGTCTCCTTACCTATAAAACAACCCAAACCACTAGGATGAGTAATCAAGTTACTCATAGAAAGAAGCATATGCGTATACCCTAAAGTTTCAATATCATTGCAAGATTAATATAGACTAATACAAGGGAGCATTCCACTTAACGTTTATGTTCAAGGTGTTCTAAGGGATTATCTTAAGCTAACTTAAATGTTTCTTAGTAACACAATATCAATATTGATGTACTTAATAACATCAATTTGCAAATAGCAAAAATTACAAGTTACAATTAAACTTTGGTTGCCAACTTGGAATTTAATGCGAAATCAATTAGTGGAATACTTGGACATCAAATCTCGGATAAAGCCAAGACCTAAATGGTTATTCCGGGCATTAACCCGCTGGGAATACCACCCTAGTGCGCACTATAAATGGGTAGAACTCATACCTCCAGCACTAGAGCCAAATTTTAGCCATGTCACTTGTAACAATGCCCCAAGATAATCCAAAATATAGCAAGTTCAAAACTCATACATAATTATTAAGGCATAAACACCACCTTCCATGCACAAGTATTTTGAAACCAAACAAACCATGTCTTAGGGCTTCCAAGTCTTGAATGGCATAATAAATGACAAGTACTCTTCATGATATAATTTGCAAAACAATATCACCAACTTATCAATTTAAATCATGCCTCAACAATAAACTTTATATACTAGATTACAACATTATAGTATTAAGCTTTTAAAATAATTACAATTAATCATCAACAAAAATATAGAATTATCACCACCATAATTATAACAATTCAAGTCAATAGAAATTGTCTGTAGCATTAATAGTTCTATAAGAGTTCTATATTACTACCACATGTGAAATTACTAGAATTTAGCATACTACTAAATCACATGATCTTTCTACACATGGTGTATACATATCATGCATGCTTAAATCAATAAACCCTAAGTCAAAAGTGAGGGTTTCTTATAATATGCAAGACTATCATATTAAAAGTATGTATACAATATATATTAAACCCCAGAGAATTTTAAAACACTTAAAATATAAACATACTACCACCTTTACCTCAATAGAGAATTGGATCTCTGTAATCCAAAGCAACCAAGCACAAAATGGATATAAAGTTTAGGGTTAATGAAGAGGAGAGCAAGAGGAAACTTTTGTGTCCTAAGGTTTTTTGTCTAAGGTGAGTGGAAAGAAGCCAAAATGAAGAAATAAGCTATTAACCAAGCTTTTCTCCAATGGTGGCTATATTAGGGTTCTTGAGAGTAATGAGAGTGAAGAAGATAATATGAAATGTGGTGAGTGGAGGATCTAGTATTCCTCCACTCACTATGTGCTTTGACACTACCTCTCACACACACACACAATGCAAGACTTAATTTGGTGCCTACACTTGTCACTAATTCATGGCTCATTCCAAAACTTAATCCTAAGCTTACACTTGTCAACCATTTAAGCCAACAAGTGCACCAATCCTAGGCCAACAAGTGGGTGAATCTCCACCCTTCAAATGTGAAGAGATCATGCTTCCAAGTCATTCCGCCTCAATGCCAACAAGTGGCTCCATGAGAGTGTGACACTTGTCACACTTTCCAAAAATTTCTAAAGGGTCCTTTTCCAAAATATCTTCCAAATAAAATTGCAAGATGGTCCCCAAGACAAAAAATAATTATTTAAATAATTACACTAAAACCTTGAAATCAAGAATAATTACAATAAAATATGCATCCATGCCTTTTTACTAAAAGATAAGCAACTAGAATGTATTTTCTACAAAAGTAAAAATACAATTATCATGTAAATCAAATATCATGGATGCATGCAAAGCCGGAATCAAATCCGAGCACGAAAAATGAGGTTATGCAAGGTAAAATGATAAATGGGAAAAAAGACGAAATAGGGAAAAGATGAAAAAAAGAAGAAGAAATTACCCAAAAAAAAAAAAAGAAAAGAAGGAAAATGACCGGGCCATTACACATAGTGTCGTACTACAATCAGTCCATTCAAAATGGATAATTCATAATATTAAAGGCTCCAATCAAGTTGTTAGGGTGAACTCATTTGATACAATAAACAGAGAAACGAAACCCACATCAAAATAAATAAGGTAACTAGATCATGCATGCACCCATGAACCAAATTGGAATAAATTAAAGAAAAAAATAAAAAAAACAAACAAAGATAAACCATTTCCTTTAACAAATTACAAACAATAGATAACATCCCAGGATTCTAAGAGATTATGCAAGTTTCATGCTATTATTCAACCTGAAATATAAGAGAATTGCATTAACAATACAAAATTCAAAGAGAAATATGTAAGTTTCATGCTATTGTTAATTATATGATATGTAATCACTGTTACAAAAAAAAATAGGCCTATCCAACTAGAGAACAACCCTTGATATAAAAACAAGGAATTTTGACCTTCACATCTTGAAGCTTGAATATGTTTATTAGTTATGAAAGACTTGTCTTGAGAAATATATAACATATTGTTGGTGTACTAGAAACAAAGAAAAATCAAATAGAATAAATTTTATATTTAAAACAAAATATAAACTAGACAAAAACACCTATTCGCCTACATGCAGGTGTAAATCTCATGGATGGTTATCTTGAAGTTTGGGGGATTTTTATCATCTCTTTTTTTTTTAACTTTTTCTTTTTTCCCTTTTCTTGGTTGAAATTTATATCTGTTTAAACTAGAAGTCCCCCCGTTACAACTCTGGTAGAGTTGTATTTGCTTATACGAAGCAACTACAATATGGTCATCCTTTCATGTAATAAAAAATGACTTGTTCGGTTCCCCACTGATCCTTGGGCATAAAAAGGTTTGGGTACCATTATAATATCTTGACTAGTTTAAAAACTGCTTTGTTTTATACCATCTTGCTTTTCAGTTATCAAGTGAAAATCAGTAGAATGAGACATAATAGTATTTTCTAAAAGCTACATAATACATTGATTTATTTCTGTTAGCCCTGTTTTTTTTAACCCCTGATTTTTTTAATTCATTTTTCAAAGGTGACCAGTAGCAAATGCCTCTGATTTTCTTCTTTGAACTTTTAAAAATAAAAAATATATATTAATCATTTAAACTATATATATTCACCTTTTACAATCAACTAAAACATGTGAGGAAATAACAATAAATTAATTAGATGAAAAAATTCTGAAGCTATTAACTTCCCAACCTTTAATAACATTCATTCTAGAATGAAGTATGTGATTTAATTAATTAATTAATTAATCAATCGAGAAATAAAAGCAAAAATAAACTTGTTGTTACCTGTGTGATAATGTTTTTCTTTTATTCGGCTTACCCTAAAATAAAATTAAAAAACAAAAACCCTAAGAATAATAATAATGATAGGGATACTAAAAGTAAACAAAATAATTAATAGTAAAGCAAAAAAGAACCCTAGGAAAATAGAAAATTTTGATTACCTACTAGTAGGTTGTATGAAAGAAACTTAGAGAACTTTAATTATATTTTCTCCCAAGCTTCATCTCCTAAAGTTTATTCTAAAACAAACGGATCAAATCAGATGAACAGATCTGATGGATATGATTGAGCTTTAAAAAATAAAAAAAAAGACAAAAAAAGCACAGTGCGTGAAGAAAAAAAATAAAAATTAAGTGAAGAAGAACACAAACCTGGACAATCTGTTAAGATTGGGGGAAGAGTGATTGGAGAGAGGGAGGTATCCTGTGGAGTATGAGGAAGGAGTGATGGTAGAGAGAAAGAAAGGCGTACTGTGGAATATAAAGTGAATGTAGAGAGAGAGAGAGAGAGAGACATGAGTGCCGAGTGGGGTGTTTGCTTGCACTGAATCCTAGAGCTTTAAGTTCTCCTTTCATAGGAGCTCTCTTGTCCTAAGAGTTTATCCTTTGGTTGGAGGTGTTTGGTTGGAGTTCTTTTGCTCCGTGTTCTTTGTTTGTTGCTCTGGTTTTTCTTGTATTGTTCTTTCCTCGTTACTCGTCTTGTTTTTGTTTGGCCGATTCATTGAGGTTGGTTGTGATCTTTCTGAATCAGTTTGTGGATTTGGTTCTGGTGGTGGTCCCGGGTTGTTGTGTGGGTCTGATTTGACTGATTTTGGTGGTGATCTGGTGGTTTCTTTGGGGGATTTGGCGTTCTTGGTGTCAGTGGGTAGATTGGCATCTTGTATAAAGGTGTTGCTCCATTTCTTGTGTTTAATCCTTGATCTTTCGCATGTCTTCTCTAGGTTGTTTTTCTAGATCGCGGATTGTTCTTGCTGAAGGGGTTCTTATCTGTTTAATTTGGTGGTGTGTCATCCCTCTGCTTATTCTTTCTTCCTCGGTTCTCCTACGTTTTTTGATCTACATCTCTAGAGGGTTACTGGATGTTGGCGGTAGGGCTCCGTTTTGGAGTTTGGAGATGGTGGTGCTTTTGATGTTCATGTTGTTTCTAGTTCGCCGGCGTAATGCTAGGAAACAGGTGATCTTTTCATTTTGTTTATTCCTTCCTCATCCTCTTTCTTTGTGGTATGTGTCTTGGTGGCAATGTTGGATATAGTGGTCTTGTCGGTGTTTTTGGTGAATCCAATGGTTTGATCGCCAGTCGGTTATATGGCTTGCCGGTTTATTGGGGCAATTTGGTGATGATTAGGAAACTATAGATTATCGGTCTTTGTGGTCGGTGTTGGTGTGGTCGGTGCACTTGGTGTTGACGTCATGGATGAGCTCAGGGATATTTATAGTGTCAGCTTTAAGAAGGATGGTGGTGGGACCTGTGCCCATGCTTTTATACGCTACGATGTCTTCACCAATTGTTATGTTGGGTACGTTTCTCTCTGTTACTGTTCTAGATATTATCTTTGTTGATTTTTGGGTTGCGGTGGGCCCTATTCTGCAGTGCATCATCACGTATGTAGCGATATTTTCCTGGGCTTTGTAGTATATTATCTTGTTGGGTATGCTTTATCTGGGTACTGCTAACCTGATGTCATGGTTACTGTCATATCTTAGTCCTCTTCATGTTAATTTTTGGGGTTCGGTGGGCGAGCTTTTGCAGCCCACAATTACTTTTGTTGCCGGGTTTTTTTTTTGTTCTATAGATTTTTTACTTTGTGGGTCTGCTTTATTTACTTTATATACTTGTTAGTTCCTTTTCATTTCTGAAGTGTGTGGCTGGCATTGTATGGCATATTCACTACGCTTCTACTTTTGACATAGTGGGTTGCCTTTTTATAATCCAGTTTACTTATCTTTATGCTTTATATGGTTTATGTTCTTGGCTTAGCTTTTTTTGTAATGACCCGATCATTTTCTTACTTTTTCCTTTTTCTTTAAATTTTGTGGATAAATTTTTTTTTCATTATCTTTTCCTTTTCGGGTTCGATTTCTCGCCTCTTAGTGTCGTCTCGAATGCTTGGAAATGGTTTCTGAGACTCTTTTCTTTGGATTGACAACTTCCTTTGAGGACCGAGTCATTTCCACATTTTTTTGCTTTTTGACACTATTCATTTTTCGTCTTTACCTTATTTCGTCTTCTTCTCGTTTTTCACTTTTACTTGCATAACCTCATTTTTTGTGCTCAGATTTGATTCCGATTTTGCATACATTCATGATATTTGAATTCCATGACATCTACATTTTTAATTTTGTAGAAATGCATATTAAATACTTACTTTCTTTGTAAAAGTCATGAAAATAAGACTTTTTGCAATTATCCATAACTTAAGGGGTTTTTGGGTAATTAAGTAAAGTAATTATTTTTCGTCTTAGGGACCATTTTGCAAATTAAATTGGAAGATATTTTTAAAAAGGACCTTTTTGTAATTTTCAGAAAATGTGACAAGTGTCACATTCCTATAGTGCCACTTGTTGATTTTGTGGTGGAACCACTTGGAGGCTTAATCTCATGACACATGGAGGTTGGAGATTCATCCACTTGTTGTCCTAGGATTGGTGCACTTGTTGGCATGGATGGTTGACAAGTGTAGGGTTAATATTTAATCTTGGAAGCTTACTTGGATTCATGACAAGTGTAGGACTCACCTTTAGTCATGCATTAGTGTGTGTGTGAGAGGTAGTGCAAGAGCACCTAGTGAGTGGAGAAGTCCACCAATTTAGCTTAGGGTTTACACATTTTAATTCATTCATCACTTTCCTCTCAAGAACCCTAAGGAAGCCACCATTGGAGAAAAGCTTGACTAGTAGCTTTGATTTCATTTTTGGTACCCTTTTACTCACCGTAGAACTTTGAACTTGGAATTTAGAGAATTTAACTATTTATGTTTAATTAAATTCTACTTTATTACTCTATGGATTTAATTGCATTTTGTAAGTTGTTTCTATATTTAAATCATGGATTTGGATTTGATGTATGTTCACTTGAATACTTTTGAATATTGGATAACATAGTTGTAACTTTTATATTCCTAAGAATATGTTTTTCCTTATTGAATATATGGTTGCTATGTGTAAGGATTTGCATACTTTGTTTTGACATCTTACATGCCATAGTAGTTGTGAATTTTGAGCATGTATTGTATAAGTTTCCAAAATTTGGATTGTGCTTGGTAAATAGTTGATATCTTATATATACATGTTGATATATATACGTTATTGCACAATTTGTTGATTTTGAAAACTTGGGGATATCGTTGTTTGGCTACGGCTAGGACTTGGTTCTAGTACGGGGGATTGTCCCTCTATATAGTCTAGTGCGCACATAGGGAGGTTACCTATGGGCTAGTAACCCTAAAGTAACTATGTTGTCGGTTTGATCCGGCGTGAAGTCCGAGTATCCACTTTGTTTGATTTCGTAATTCATTTCAAGTTGATAACTAGATGATATCGTAACTTGTTGTTCTTTATTTGATTCCCTATTTTGAGCTTAAAATGTAGCTTTATGAAAGCATGCTTCATGCGTTGTATTGGAAGTTCCATTATTGGTTAAATTGCATCGATATCATAATTTGTGTTTTGATGTTCAAATGTAGTTTAGGAATGACCTTATAGATTCATTTTGAACATAGACATTAGGTGGCATGACCCACACTTGTTGTTTTTGTATTTTGGATTTCAAGTTGAAGACTTTGAGAATCTATATCTTGTTTCCTTGTATAACATGTTTCCATGTTGTTTGAATTGTATGAACAATGTGATTATGATTTAAATGATCTAGGTAACTTAGGATGCTCCCTGGGTCTCATCTTGACATAGACGTTAGGTGGTATGAGCCCCTTTAACATGTTTCACCATAAGGTGATAAAATTGTAAAATGCTAGGTCGATGCATGCTCATCTCCTACAAGTAGCTTTATGTTACTCACCCCTATGATACTGGGGCATATTTCAGGTACAGGACTCAGGATTTGAAGATTCCATTGCTCCTTGGATGGTTTACAGTTTCTAAGTTTCTATTTTATGCAAGTGTTAGCATAAGATGCCTCTTTGTAGTCTTATTTGTTTAAACTTGTATTCATTGATTCGTATACGTAAAGTGTACGTAAGTGCACTCTTTTCAATGTATTTAATATGTATGAGATGAGGCCGGAGGCTAATGACATGTATCCCGTTTTCTATTCACTTTTGTTTTCAAAGTTTATTATGAAAATATTGGAAAATGTTAAGTCATTGCTTCATAACTTTTGCATCGGGTGTTGGAATTTCATATCTTTCCTGCCTGGACTCAGAATGAGACGATTCTTGAGTCTAATTTTGTTCATTTTTCGTTGTCCTTCCAATGGTGTGCACGGTGGCACCCTTTTCAGTGAGAAATGACCATTTGGCCCTTAGTTCATCTTTTTTTGGGTTATGCATTCTTGCTTCATTTGAGTTCCGTGGCTTCATGGAAAGGCATTTTGGGGCCTTAGGGACGATGTACATATCTTTAGGTCATTTGGCTTCTTTCGCATCCGCATTTCGGGTCCGTTACCTGGTCAACTTTCGTTTCATCACTGACGTACCGGGTTGAGAAATTCGGGTCGTTACAGGTGGTATCAGAGCTCCTAGGTTTGAATACCTTGGACGACGGGTTTTAGGTGCATATTAGCTTATGTTGCCATGCTCTATGTGTTTATGTGCTTCATGATTATATGTTTTGGTTTGATAAAATGTTTATGTGCTTACGTGCTACATGTGGTATACCGTTTGTTTAGCATGATTTAATTATTATGTAAAGAGCATGATATATGATGTATTCTAAATCAGATTTGTATATACATAACTGTGTTGCATATTTGGCATGACACGAGATTGGTCATTGAGGCTCGAGTTGAGATTGATGGTGATTGTAGTCACGGTTATATTGTAGTTTAGGTTGTTGTTGACCTAGAGTTGGTTTTAAGGTAGGTGGAGAGACACCTTTTATTTAGGCTCTCGTGGGGTGAGCCATTAGGCACAACCGTAGTACTGGATTTGTTGATTTTAGGCCATGGTTAGGTTTTGGACCTTTTGGGATCCTTGGTTATTTTGGAAGGTTCCTCTGAGATTGCAATTTTCGTGGGCGGGTACGTTATGGGCGGGTGCATGGCACAGTCATGCTACCGTACTAGCAAGCTACGAGTGCAGTTCGGATGGAATCAGCGTTGGGTTTTGTTCCGACGGGTGTAGTCCTTTTGATCAATAATGATGATGGTTGTTTTGGGGATCAGTCGTAGTGATCGATTTGGTTGTCTGATTGTATGGCTAGAGTTGCCATTTCCTTTGAGTTCTCCCTGCGCGATGACGCTTTTGGGGTCAAGTCGATTGATAAATACTTCAGGTAGAGAGAGCATTGCATTGTTTGTGTCACTTGTAGTGTCACCCTTAGATTTAGAGATGGATTGTAAGAGTCTTACCATTATGGTAAGGGCTCACATTTGTTTTGAGACAGGTTGTTGTTGCATTGGTTTTTGGAGTCAGTGTATGGCTAGGACTGGTCCTTCCTTTTTATCTAGGCACTCTAGGACTCGATGTCTATAGGGTTCATTGTTGCATCACTTTTGTTTTCTGCAGTTTCATTTACTACCATGTTAGTAGTATGATTTATGATATTGTGATTCATGAGTAGGTGGAGGTCTATTCACGTTTGCCTTCTTGTTGTGTGGCAATAACATGCCTTTTTTATATGCTTCGAGATGCCATGTTGTTACTGCGCTTTAATGACATGCTTTTATGTTTATATGGAGACGTGCAGCATGTGCTTTTGATTTTCATATATGTAAGTAGATTTTCTTTCTGATAGTTGCATTCCTTCTCATATGCATGACTTTCAGGTTTGGTTTTCCCATTCATTTCCCTAGGTCACACGTAGTCTGTATGCGAGTTTCCACAATGGTTTTGTGCTGGTTCGTGTTAGGGACTTCACAAGGAGTGAATCTCTTCCCTTTGTTGTGTTGTGCACTGTTTTGGGGTTGGTGGGTTCATGAGGATCATCGTTGTTGTCTTGAGTCCTTGGTGAGGATTTTATAGATTTTGGTCGACTTACTTCCATATAAGGGGTGAAGTCGTTGACTTTGTTGTCTTTCATTTCAAAGATGGAGTCGTAGTGTTATCCTTTTTAGAACTGGTGGTCCCCTTTCTTTCGTGTCTTCCCTTGGGGAGTTCCTGCCCTGGTTGTTAACGGTTGTGGTGCTCAAGTGAGTTGATTGGTGTGAGATCATTTTACAGAGACTTATGTCCATATCTTTGAGGATTGTTTGATTTGTGAGGTGAGCTCGATGCTCTTTTGAGAATGTCTTTTGGAGACTTGTTCCAGTTTTGGAGGCCTGGATGTGGTTGACTCTTAG